ATCAGTTTATACGTGGGACATTTAGTTTATACCAGACCCAAGTGCTATCTATCCCCCTCACCACTCTCCTTGCTGACCACTTCTGCAAAGTGTTATTTCATACCACAAGGAGCTTGATAACTTAATGCATTTTGTGTCAGTTTTTTAGAAGTAGTGACAAACTGTACTTTCACATGACAAACTGTACTTTCACATGACTTCCTGATTTCATAATTGCCTGACACAGAGATTTTTACTGAGCTGTTTACTGTCATTGAGGAAACAGCGATAGCTCCATGTTTGAGAGCACTTAGCAATTAAATACATACATGCCAAAAGGATCATACTAGTCATACCTGTTGGTGGAAGTCCTAAAGCATGTACACATGGTATTTATCAAACCAAAGGGTGATTTTCATCATTTCCATCTATTCTCTATGTACAGTTAAAGTTCTGATATTCTTTGTTATTCAAGGTAAATTACAAAATATGAGGAAAAAAGCTTCTATGAGGGGTTTTTCCCCTCATGTAGAAGCTTTCGTTTCTATAGCCACCCAGTGAACCATCTCCATTTACACAGTCTTTGAGCCAGGTCAGTGACACACAGCATGACACTGCCTTCGGGCAGTTTTGGTTTAATTTACAACAGAAGGCAGTGCTTTGGATTTCCTCAGCTTGTAGCTACATACTTTGATATTGCTACTCCTTTTCATGGGAGTTTGTTGTTGTCCATCACTGAGTACTTAGCCTTGTGCTTACACATGACATACAAACATACAAATGGTGTTTTCACCAATTCTACTAGTCATAAGTTACAAAGCATATTTGCTATATACGTGCTAACATAAACCAAATGAGATTTAATTTTGTAGCTTTCTGGTATTGCTCCAGCTTTAGCAAACTTTGGGGCATATTTAGTTTGGCTTGGGGCCCTATACACAGCATTTAAAAAAAAAAAACATTCAATGACTAGGCAACAATAGTTTCACACTCCAGGCAGCTGTGTGATTTTGACACTGCTGTGTGTGCGTGTGTTTTCCTTCCATATAAAAACTATGGGTCGTCTTACATGTATGTCTTATCTGACACTGTAGGAGGCTGGAGATTTCTGACTCTGTTGGTATGTGCATACGTGAGAGACTCCACATAAAGGGCTGCAGGTTCAGTTTAAGTACACTTAATGAGAATTTAATTTTTATTTGATTTCAGTATTAATAGTTAGTTATAAGTAGGTATAGTAGGTGACTAGAGGTAAAATAATTACTGTAATTATTAAATTTCCAGCTGTTAACATCTAGGCATCTCATGAAAAAAAAAATACTAACTTATCCAATTATTCTTGAATGTGGCATATGGATCCTCTACTCAACCCAGTGAGCTACGCCAGCACCCAGTCACTACTCATTCTTATTAGTGGATGACAACTTGAATATTTGAAAATCATACCGATTCCTGTCACAATATGACAAATTACTGCTTTTTCTCCTGTATTTAGGGCTTAATATGTTACACTCCACTCTAAGAGCCTCTAAGAGTAAGAGCCATTGTCACCATTTTTGGAAAATGTACAGTTTCATCCATCCATCTTACCCAACTTAGGGCTGGAACAGTTTTCATGTAGTGAGAGGTAAAGTACTCCCTAGGCAGGCGGCCTGTCTTTTGCAGGTCTAGCATAAATGGAAAGTCATCCCTTCATACTCACATACACACTTATAGCCAATTTAGAATCACCAGTTAACCTAACATGCATGTATATGCACTGTGAGAGGAAACTGGTTATTAAAATTGATAAAATTGATAAAATCACTGGAGGAGTAATAAAAATTTAAAATAGATTTTAACTGCAGTTCCACATCAAGTTAAAGTTAATGCAGCCCATTTCAAATCAATCACAATAAAATCATACTGATCAGCTTTTATTAGAGAGATGTTTGCGCTCCCATTATCTAGCTCATTTACACCAACAACTCCAGAACTCAACTCTAGAATGACCATAAAGCTGAATCAACACTTTGCTTAAACAGTTTCATCAAACATGGACCATTATAACCTTTATTAAGGTAGACTGTATTGGAGGACTGTTGTATAAGACCACTTTAGATTGTAAAGTACTGTCAGATTAAATCCAAGGTGTTTTTACAGCAGCTGACTTTACAACTACTTTTCATTTTTTCCACTGACCTGTATAGATCCACCTGTTGTTTCTTAGACACTAGTGTTTTGGTAACAGGTTATACTGTACTGAGAAGGCCTAAGACTAAAGTAGATAAAAATAATTCTTATTTTATATCTGAAGAGCTCAACACAATATAGATTATCCAATCAGAACAGAGTGGAAACAAATCAGAGGTTGCTTCGGTATTAAATTACTGCCAGGACAGTTTTGTGACATAAATAACATATAATCTAATTTTTTCAAGCTTTTAGTTTTTTAATAAACTAGTATCAAAAACAAAGATATCGTCTGGACAGCTTGTAACATAACTGTTAGAAGTCTTTCAGCCCTTTGTAACAATCCTGATATATATTTACCCATTATAAAATTGATAACATTGACTTCTGCAACTGATCAAGACCAATGCAAATGTTCTGTTGATATATTAGTATATCTCTAGTTATCAAAATGCCATCCCCATCATTTGGTTAGCTGATGATGTCACAGAACAACTCATTTTAATTCCCAATCAACTTAATCACATATATTTTCTAATGTAAATTTCATAAAAAGCTTTTCATAGCATAACTTGAAATCTCGTTAACTTGTTTTGTCTGACAAACAACAGAAATGTATCATTTACTACCAAAATAAAACAAAGCTTTTTATTACAATTAAAAATCTTGAAGTCATAAATGGTATTTATGACTGCAAATTACGCAGTGCTGCGCAGTGTACCAGTCTTTCATAAATGCTGTACCAGTTAAAAGATACAACGCCCACCGTGTCCTTTCAAATAGCTTATATTATTATTTATCTTATTACTGCCATGGATACTGCTGAAGCGCATGAGAAGGGGGCTTTTATGACTGTACAGTCTTCTCACTCACAGTTCCTGTCCTATGAATCATACACATTATAAGGACAGCCATTACAAATCTGCAAATCTCTTCAACTGGGAACAATCCTAGGACACAAGTTGTCAAACAAACTATTTAATTAATAACTTCATATTTACACAATTATGCCGCTTAACAGCATACTGGGTAATTCCTCAAGGCTAAAACACTGTTTATCCTGACAAGTCCAAATGGAGTTTGTATCAAAGCTTTACAACAAAGACTTGCTATATATTGACTTTATTTAAAAACAGGGGCAAAGGTAGCATTGCAGCAAACATTTTATTTTGAATTTATTATGTACCATTTAAACACAGTTTTAAGACAGTTGAGCCCAACTGCTGATATTCAAGCCCCTGTTGATTGCCTATCAACTCAAAGCAGCTTTCTTCTCTGACCTCTGGCACAAACAAGGCTTTTTATCCAAAGAGCTTTTGCTCACTTGATATTTTCCCTTTTCCAGACCAGACTGAACTTCAAACTAGATTGTGAGAGCACTTGTTTTACTTGTGCATAGTACAGAGAGGTGTGTAGGAAAATACTCAGACTAGCCCATCTGGCACCAACAGTCAAAGCAAGTTCAAAGTTATTGAAACCACTTTTCTTCCTCATTCTGATGCTAAATTTAAACTTCAGCGGGTTGACTTGACAAAGTCTGCATGCCTGAATCCATTGAGTTGCTGCCATGTGACTTCCTAATTAGGTATTTGTGTTAATGAGCACTTTAAGAGGTATAACTAATAATTGTGAATGTGTATTATTTAGGTGCGCTGTAGTTTGAAATGTATTCAAACTAAAAGGGTTTTATAGAATTAACTCCTACAAGTCATGAAGTGAAAAAATTATTTGTTATTTTATATTTATTATTTGAACCTATATGGTAGGCACAGAAATAATATTACTAACAACATACCTGGATATACTGGTAAATTCCTCTTAACTAATGCCTTATTTATGACCTAAATTGGCCAAATATTTATGAATAATTGTGAATTACAGTCTAGTTTTCATACACATGGAAGTTCTTTTACTTATGCACACTATACAGCGTATGAAGACCAACCCGTCATGCTTCTTGACATGTTGCCGGATGCCATTATGCAATCACCAAGACTTCAAAAAGCTCAGAAATAAACGTCAGCCTCTCATTTCAATGTAACGCCATTGCTGACGCAATTATTGCACATATACATATCCTCATCTGGATCAGCACAGCTTCGTATCAAATCATGTGAACCTAAGCATTGGCGAACATTCCAGCACACACAGTTAAATGCATCCGAGCAGGAAGCATCTGTGTCAGTGATGAAGCTTTCCAGAAATAAACAGAACAGAAAACGAAACCATCTACAACTCGGGAGAACACGAATTCCAGGAACACAGATTTCAAAACGGTTTCCGTATAATCCTGTATAAAAAACCCGTCATAACCGGATGATTTTAAACTATCCTACCTACTGCGTCTCATATTCTTGATGCACAAGCAATATCACACAACTCCATAATTTATATATATTATCAAATGTACACAAAACTTTTTTTTTTTAACTCATCGAGTGTTTTTTTTTATCTTGCGGTACTGATAAAAGCCAACAAACACTCAATTATTTAGGAGTTTCTTTTTCTGCCTCCGAATTAGCTTGCCGTGCCTGCGGAGGAGCCACAGATGTGATGGAACTGCTATTCGGTGCTATCCGTTAGCCACTAGCTCACAGTGACCACAAATGTAGTCGCAAACGGTTTTAAGCCCCGCTGTGCGCTTTAATATTAGCCTCTACGTAAAGACACATATAGAGCAGATATATCATATCAGGTATACATGAGAAAAAATGATATAAACACATAATAGAAATGGTCAGACAGAGTTAGCTTAGCAGGCTAGCATTAGTTAGCGTTTAAGATGCTGAGAGAACCAGAAGAAGAGCTGTTAGCAAGGAAAGCTAATCAGACGCTCCGGGGTACCTTACCAGGTCAAAACAAACAGGAAAGCGGAGCGAGATGCATTAATTTCTTGTTTCGTTTCTGAAGCCGACTTCTGGTGAGACGGTAACTTTGACGAGATCAAAGCAAATAATGTAGAAATATCGTCGGGAACATTGCAAAGACACTCGAAATTAATGTGGTTCCTGTTTTTTTGCTCAGACTGGCTCGGATGCCCGTTCGCAGGTCGTTGCTTGGAGAGACTCGCACACATACACACACACACCCTCCAGGGACGAACCTGCCAAATACTGGCCCCGCCTCCTTTACTGTGAGCGCAGCAGGAGACAGCTGCCAAATACTGACCCCGCCTTGCAGACAGCTGTAGACTAGCAGAGACAGCTTAAAACGCATCTGTGGCTGATTTCTTTATCTACTTATAACAGTAATAATCCAGTGTCAAGTATGTATTATATATAGTGTGTGTGTATATATATATATATAATCATATATATATATATATTTATATAATCATATATATATAAATATATATATATGAAATAGGTGCAGCGATTTACGCACAAATGTGTAAACGTAAAATTAAGTACAGTATGTAAGGCAAAAACACACTTGGGCTTATTTCTCTTTAGGAGGCACCTTGCTAGCGCAAAAACATTTTATTTGTGGCAAACTATGTTATGTTTCACTTTTTTTGTATAACCAAATGTGTTTTTACAACATTCTGCTAGTAACAAAGTGACTAAAAATAGATTTCAAATTTGGTTTTGGCAATATTACACTATTGTGCAAGACTGGTTTTTCCCCTGAGTTGTGTGGCTTTTTTATACTTGAATGGCTTCACAAACAGTAGAAAATGTAAAAAATGCTCTGGTACAAGGAATGGACTGAAAATTAAAGAAAAAGCAGCCAATGTCTAAAGAAAAATTGTGAAATAATTTCAGAAAGCCTGGAGAACTGCTGCTCACTTTAAAATATTACATGGAAGTCTGGCTCCTTGGAAGCAAAAGAAAGGAGTGGCAAGAGACTTTTGCACAGTGCTGTAAGTTCAGTCTAATAATCTCTTTTTTATATTTTAGAAATAATAAAGTACTATTGCTATTGTATGCTTAATAATGCAAAGATTCTTTTATTATTACTTGCATGTTAGATATGTGTTTGTTTTGTTTGTTTTTTCTCTTCCAGTGTACATTGCTTCTTACAAATAAAACTAATGAATAAATGTATAAACTAAAACCTTTAACTACATATACCCCTTTGTTCATATGCTGGCAGAATAATAAACCTGAGCCTTTACAACAAAGTCCACCCCATAAACTATATGTGTAACAATTGTAACCTTAAGGTCCACAAGTGTGCTTTTTTTCTCTCGAGCTTTTATCTTCAATTTGCTGCCTTTCGTGTCAGATAGAGTTTGTGCAGTTACATAAAGATAGTTGCAAGTTAATTAATCATTAAATGAATAGTTTATGTGCCTAAAAATAAAACACTGAAGTAATAGAGATAACATATGCTGTTATGAAAACGTAACCACTTTTAGAGATTTGTTAAAGTGAATAAAAGAGCATTACACGTATTTGATATCCAGCCTGCCTATACTGCACATAGTGACATGATAAATAAATGTACTATATTAGTTATGCATTATATTACTTAACATAAATGTATTTTATGTATAAATACAGTGGAGCAAAGTCACTTTCAGGATATTAAATGTGACTGAATGGGTATTTACCGCCACCTGGTGGAATAAGTTGTAAGAAAAAAAGGTTTCTTTGCTGTTTCAGTTGAACTACGATTCAATAATTCAATTAAATGAATTAAATACAAACACAAGCTGACACAAGCTCTATAGACACTCTATAGACACTTTATTGCTGTGTTTATTGTTTAACAATCTAAGGAAGGTCTAACAGTGAGCTTGGCGGGCTTCAAACACACACCCTCCAAGAATCTGTTACCAAAACAAGATTTAAATAGCAAAAAACAGCTATAATGCAGTAATACAATATACATGATGCTATAAAGTCTTAAGATGAATTTATTCTTTATTCTCAGTAACGTATAGGCTATATGTTTCCACTTCCAAAATGCTTCTTTACATATATATATATGGGTGTGTGATACAACATACATAGTTATTGTGAAATAAGATTTTATCTATATATATATATATATATATATATATATATATATATGTATATATATCAATATTAGTGTATATTATATGTGTGATGTGATATGATGATGTGATGTGTGTGTGTACATATATATATATAGTAGTATGTATGTATATATAATATATATATATATATATATATATATATATATATAGATATATACAATATATATATATATATATATATAATATATATATATATATACACATATACATACATACATACATATACATACATACATATATACATATATACATATACATATATACATATAATATAATATATATATTATATATAATAGTATATATATATATAAATATATTATATATACATATATAATTGTAATCAGACTCATTGTAATTCAGACTCCAGGAAGATTCAGCCAAATCGTCCCTAGCAAAGCAATTACTTTTCCAATCGCTTTCTAACATCAAAATAACACAAACTCCATCATAAAGACAATTCTGATAGCAGCCAACATTTCCTCCATCATATATATATATATATATATATATCATTATATATATATATATATATATATATAATATATACTATATATATAACTATATATATATATATAAAATATATATTATATATAATATATATATATATATATAAAATCATACAACAAAAAGAAGACATACAAAAGAAACTTTTTTCTATGTAACCAAATCTTGCTATAGTTCATTCTTTTGTGCCACTGAGCTTCCTTATTGTCCATAAACTAATAAAAAACACACCAGTAAGCCAGACTATTTCACTGGGCAGAGTTTGAAACTATTGATAATGTCACTGTAATTTCCTTTTGCTTTACTGTTGTAGGTGCAGTAAAGCCCAGAGCACATTTTACTTCTGTCTGACAAATATTTCCTAAAATTATTCTAATTATTATTATTTTACATTTTCAGCAGGGGTTAAAGAGTTTCAATAGGTTTTAAAATCAAGATGCTGTCTACTCGTGCTATCGCAGGCCTGCCTCATCTTTTTAAGGATGCCACGATATGTAGGTCAGTTAAAAAAATATTTCAACCAGTGTGAAAATATGGAAACATATAGTCATTCGTCATAAACAGCTAGGATTCTTATATTCTTAGTGTACTTACTAATGACCTATTTGGACAATTTCCAATAAACAGACTGTAGCAGTGATGGCACAGATGACCTGTTTGATTTTTTTAATATTTATTGAATGTGCACTCTGCAGGTTAAGTATGAGAACAGTTTGCAAAAAAAATTGATTCAGTTGTCCCTCTGAAGATGAATTTTTATTAAGAGCTGAATTAAACACACTCACACATGCTACACACACACACACACACACACACACACACACACACACACACACACACACACACACACACACACACACACACACGACACGACTCGGACCTCCATATCGTCTAATAAAAACAAACTTGACAAAAAATCACCACACTGACTGACTCTCCTCTACAGATACAGAGAATCTAATTTATGGAGAACCTTTATCCCATTATTTCAACTGCGCCCTTGTAGCCAAACCTTATACGCTGATTATATAAATATACCTGTCATACTGAATAGGATACGGAAAAGTGGAAACTGCAATGATTAAACACCAATACACTGTATTTTTAAGAGACATATTTGCCTTTCCTCAGAATTTCTTTTTCTTGCACATTTTTCACCAAAGCCAAAACAAAACAGAAGCCCCTTTGAATAACAACCATACAACTGTTTGAACACAGATGGCGTTGTCCACAATTTGACAAATATAACTACAGTGGCAAAGACTGGAGTGGTGAGTTACTGTAACTACACTGATGGCCAACTAAAGCGAGCCCACCAGCCTATGTACAAATTGTAGATATCTCTTGATGCGCTTGACAGATCTCAGGCAGAAGAAGTAGAAGTACAGCTTCAATGCAGATTACATCTTGTACTTCACAAATGTAGTCCTGGTGGAGTTGGTGTCCTTTGTTTGTCTCACACGATCCTTGTGTTGAGAGCGACGGTGTTATGCTTCATACACCCTGTGGAAAACAAACATATATCTCTTACGAGATTTGCTCCTTTGGTTGCAAACAATGTAGGTTTTTTTTCAGCCTCCTAAAAAAGGTGTCTCTGTTTGAGTAGCGATCAAATGTTTACATGTAGTATGAACATGACTTTAATGCTTCTGTAACCAACAGTGTCCCTTAGAAATGCTGTTTTTGAAAAAATACGTCCAGAGGACTTTTGTCTAAGACCTGACTCTGACCTCTGAAGTTAAAAAGACTAGTTTTAACAAAACAAATCAATAAAGCATCACATCTTTATTGATAGTCACTGGATATGGTTTCAGCCCGGAGTCAGGGATAAAACTTGAAAAACTTTATGTGCATATGTTTATGAGTGGTTTATGCATTGCTTCTTAATGAAATGACAAAGAAGATATAACATGGTAATAATAATGGTGATAATGCTTTATTAGGTACGCCTGTTTAGGTGATTGTTAATGCATATCTAATAATATCTAATCAGCCAATCACATGGCAACAATTCACTGAATTTAGGCATGTAGACATGTCCAAAATAACCTTATAATGCTCAAACTGAGCATTAAAATGGGGAAGATGATTGTTAGTGCTGGTGCGGGCGGTTTAACTATCTCAGAAACTGCTGATCTACTGGGATTTTCCCACAAAACCATCTCAGGGTCTATAGAGGCTAATCCAAAGGGAAACATTCAGTAATAGTTCTCTGGGAAATACTGGCTTGTCAGAAAAGAATAGCCTGACTGCTTTTAGATGATAGCAATGCGGAAGTAAGTCAAATAACCATTAGTTACATCACATGTTGTTTGTGAAGTTTTGTAAACATTTGACAATATATATAAGTTATGGAGCTGTGCGATATTGTAAATACATGAAATGTTCTTTAGATTCTTACTTTTATTTACTTTAACAAATCTCTAAAAGGGGTTAAGTTTCCATAACAGCATATGTTATCTCTGTTACGTCAGTGTTTTATGTTTAGGTATATAAACTGGTACATTTATGTAACTGCACAAACTCTATCTCCCATGAAAGGCAGCAAATTGGACATAAAAGCTAAAAAAACAGTACACTTGTGGACCTTAACTGTTACACCGACAGTTTATGGGTTTGACTAAGCTAACTCTGTCTGACTTACGTGTTTATATAATTTTTTCTCATGTGAACCTGATAGATGACCACTAGATGTCAGTAGAATGCAGATCACGCTCAACTTAATTCTGTTTTGTTACGCCTACCAATGCAAGAGTAAAATCCTTGCTATGGTGGCCTCAATAGGACAAACAATTCTAGCTGCTGTTTATCTGTAGTGAGTGTAGGCTGTCATTCTGCTTTCACCTCAGCTGACAACATGGATCTAACATTTTTGGACTGGGACTCTTAGCGACACTTTGTCTCTGATAAACAGAAGGAAGTGTGATTTTCAGGGCGCTCGAGCCTAACATTAGCTGGCATAATGTTAACTTATACCCAGCTGCTGTTGTTTTTTTTAGTCAGGTTGTTATCATCTGTCCAGGGATGGGAGGGTCACATGTCTACTCTGCTACCATAAGTAAATGTGACAGTATTTGGAATAAATAAATGTGTTCATGCACGGTTTCGTTCAGATACTGGAAGAGGATGACATTTTATCTAGTTTTGCTGAAATATATAATTACACATTAAATAACCTAACAACACGACTGACTGTACTTTTAACTAACATCACCTGATTTTTATTTATTTATTTATTTTTTGGTGTTAGGCTATTACCTGTGCTTGTCCTTCCAGATGCGGAACCATTTGACCAGGTTCTTAGTGCTCTGAAGTTTGGGATGAAGACAGTACTCCTGCCCCTTGAACCGAGACACATTCTCCATTGTCACACTGAGAACAGGAGCCGAGAAGAAGCAAAGGTTAAATACTGATTTTAAAAAACACAAAACATGACATGTAGGTTTTCCAGTCTGTATCAAGTACACATGTACTCTTGAACACTCTTATTTATTCCTATAAAAATTAAAAAAGATTTTTAAAATGTGCAAAAAGTTATTTTTGCACATGTGGCTGCCAGCTATTCAGTAAGATCGCTTTTAACATTTCAATGACTACATCACTTATGAAAAAAATAATATAGTGGCCCTAAAGGCCAAGCACTTACCGGAATCTGACTGCTATCATATCATGACAACAAAAATGGCTAGTGAGTAAAATAAGAACATTTCACAATGAAAGTTTTCAGTTTGACTTGGAGGGTTAAGTTCAGCTTAAGAACTCAAGGCACAACTTCATTGGAGTAAAAACACTGTTGTGAGCAAGTCAAACCATCTGAAAGCCAGTCTGAGTCTGCTGAATAGAGACTGGTTAAGGAGTAAGACATCTGACATGTTTTTGCCCCAAATTTTAGTGGCTAGTCTAAGCTGCCTCCAATAACATTTCCACAGCTGAATGCCCTCCGAATTCAAAAGATCCGCTTGCACAGCTTTGCCAGCTTTTTTGGCAATGAAGCAATATTATGGAGCTGCCACTTAAAAATGTGACATCTAAGCTCATTGAATCAGTTCATCTGTCTGTTGTGCTCTGCTTTTGGCAACGACAGAGACAGACTGCCTGTATGTGGCGTATTCAGATGAAAGAAGCGAGCGTGGTAAATATAAAAAAACAAAAGACCCACCATGCTAGGGGGCCTCACTATCCAGTGACACACTCAAAGGCTCAGCAAACCATGAATGCTAAATGACTTGACTGCAAAGGAACTTGACTTTTGATTCGAAGGCTGTATTCAGTGGTTATAAAGATTAGATTAAAGAGTTTTGCCTCTATTTTCCTGCCCATTTGGGTTGTCCCTTTGTTTCACAATTGATGCCTTAGTTAGATAGCTCTGTGTTCTTTCTTTTGGAAGAACTGAGTTCTGAGTGTGTTTGATGGATAGAACATGAAACTTCCTGTGTATATTGCATTTAACCTAATTACCGTGATCGTTTGAGCTTTGGTTCCGACTCATTATCATTCACCTAGGTAGCTGAAGCACAGCCACTGACTGAAAACTTCCGTGAGTTATAAGGACATTAGAAAAAGGAAGGTGAAGATGAATGAAGTCCAGGGAAAAGACAGAAAATTGAGAGGACAGGTAGGAATAGGGAGATGGTATATGGGGCTCCTAGGTTGTGCATGTTTGTGGTTAGGAGTGGCTGCTGAGAATGCCAAACTAAGCGCTGTAAGCCAAACGACCAAAGTGGGGACTTTCTTGCTCATTTCTCTCCCACTCTCTTTCTTTCTGTTGCTTTCCGGAGCCTGCTGAGACTCATTTTTCACCAGGCACTAACGGCTGGTGGGCCCCATCTCATGCTAATAGAGCAACCTTGAATGATGACTGTGTGGCGCGTAACACCCTCACAGAAAAACAGACCTGTGAGGTGATGCAGACCAAATACAATATAATGCTTCTGACAGGTTTGTTCTTTTGGAATGCACACACAATTTATTTCTTGACTGACTTGATGTGTGACTATACATCATCCCTCCGCTTTGCAGCTGTATTCCTCCGCCAGCCAGTTACGTTGCAGTTCATGTATAAAATATGTAAGGTAGGAGTCATGAATTCAAATAGCCCTTTTCAGCCTTTATCATGAGTGATGACTTTTACAGAGTGTTAAATTTATTAGTATTTACAGTGTAAAGTCTTGAGTTAAGCCCCAAAATGTTTTTTGTGAGGTTAGAGTGACTATAACCTCTGACCCTGAAAATGTAATCAGCTAAGCTAACATTTGGCTCAATTTTTAAGAAATTCCGTTAAGGCGTTCAAGAGCACATCACATTCATAAAAATATAACGTTCGCATAGATGGAGACAACATCTAACAGCTATTTTGTAACTATTCAGCACTTGAAAGGTGAAATTTTCAAATGAAATTTGAAACACTGATTAACACACTAAAATTTTCAAATATTATAATTTCTTTGCTGTACTCAACAACAACCGATTACCATAAAGTACTCATTTCGGAAGGGCATCTGTAACAAGATTAGGACATTAATGAATGATTTTAATAGTATAAATGTACTTGGAGCTTAAATAAATTATTAATGATAAAACAAAAACGGAACAACAGCAAACTTAAAACTTAATAATCAATTTTACTTAATTAAAATTGCTATAAAAGCAGCAAATTGTGAGATAAGAGGACCTAGTTTTCTGTTTAAAATCAATTGATATGATAAACTGACTTAAATGGTTGGATATTATCTCAAACCTTTTGTAAAAAGTAGAATACACTTTGAGCATAAAAATCTGTCCACACATCACACAGCCTGTGTGCTCTGTGTTATATTGTAATGTGGCAGCAGGTGGCAGCAGAGATTGTGCATTGAACACCAAGCAGAGTCCCAGGAGGCTGACATAACATCCCCATCTGCTGTGCCTTCATTTAGCTTTGAAGCAAAAACTTAAAAAAAAGAAACGCACACAGCGTTTTATAGTTTTTTATTGGCTTGTGTGGGGCTTCATTCACATCAACTGAAATCATGTAGTACAGACTGTACGCATAATATGAATGTATTTATAAATTTCAGGTGAGAGTGTCTGTCTTAAAGCGCTACAGGTTACTTCTTTTGAAATATAATTCATAGGAGAAGAATCAGTTCATGGTGCATTCCTCAGTAGCTCAAAATGAGCATATTAGCTGTATGTGTGCTTGAACTTTGACCTGAAAGGTTAAATGTCTGATGGCAGAGAGAGGCAGAAAGATCAAGCACTGATTTGTGATTCAGCCCATTTTTTATTGTTTAAGTACAAATAGTCTTTTGAACACACAAGCATTACATTATTCTTACATTAACTAGACTTTAATAGATTAATAGATAGATTAATGGACTGCATCATTATGTGATGCTTACATCTCACACTGCCCATGATGTCTGAATTTACAAATAAAAGTCTGGAAATGTTCATGCTTGAGTAATTGAACATTGTGGAATGTTCTGGAAATCGCTGCTTTCTTCATCCCCTCCTTTTCAGGTAATAAATCATCCCCACCTCCTGTCTACAGGGAGTAATTAAATTATCAGTTTATCACGCTGCAAATCTTTCAGAGTGTTTTAGGCACCAACGAAAGGGTGTTCTCAAAATGTGAGCGCGGCAGCTGAATATGTTTACAGTATGTTGGAGTATCATTATGCTTCAGGAACGGCTTTAAATATGCTGGTAATCTGCTAATTGTATGATTTGTATTCAAAGCATGTGCAGAGTACACGCTGGAAGAAAAAGGGGATGAATAACCAGAGGAAAGGGGGAAAAACAGGTAAGCAGGTAGGAAAATGTCAAGGGATTAAGCAAAAAGAAGAATGTAAAGCAGGAATAAGAACTGAGGAAAAAAGCAGAGAGAGAAACGAGAAAATGCAGAAATGACATCTGGAGAGTGACACATTGAAAGAGAATCAGAGTCTGACTCACAATATCATCTTCTCCTGGCAGAACGGGTGTTTGGGTTTGATCTCCAGCTTCTGTACATCCTTGTATCGGATCTTGGGCCCTTTTCTGGTGCACCTGCACTTGTAAGCTGTTGAGAAATATAATGCACACATTGCACTGCTAAGACACAAATCTAATAAACTTGTCATGCAAGCTCAATTACTTCCAGTCAGACTGACAGGTATTTAACTGACAGGGAAGTTAATTCTTTGCGATCTGACGGCAAACTGGCGTGGAATCACAACGAAGTATTCCCGCTTTATCTTTGAATTATAATTCAAATGACAAGTGGGTGTTATCTGTTTCTATATTTATATCTGGCAACACACAGCTGAAATTCCATGCTTTTACTTAAGTCACAGTCAAAGGCACATTAAAATAGAAATATAATTTGGCATGCAGTTAGACCCCTTTTTATATTAAGCACGACTAAAATGGAAACATCTGTGTAGAGAGGAAATTGGCTTGAATTCCACACTGTACGAGTTTTATGCTATTGCTGATTGTTCACTGCACATCAGCAAAATTAAACATGCTGCATTTATCCCGTTAAGCTCAGACGATGCATGGGTTCCTAAAGGTCTTACTGCCTTGCACGAAGAACTTGAGACTTCAGCTATCCTGTATTTATCTCACTATCATGTTGCTTCTCTATCAGACACTAATTTTATAAAATTCCTGCACTACAAGCACTAAGGGAGAGTCTATGCACCTCTTTAATTAAAGCTACATGTCATCTTACTTCTGAAGCATACATATATATTTAATAATGTCTGTCCATCATCTTCTGATCAACTTAAAATGATGCCTGTTCAGGGCAAGTTTTCTAGCTGTAGTAGTGAATATATTACACAGAGGAAATTCGTTTTGCTGGGCTGTATATTTGTGATGGGAGGTGATGACCTGGATAGTCCAAGGTTTCCCTCATCCATCATCTGCTATCTGTCCAGACCGCCAGGCACTAAATCTGTCACAAGCCCCCACAGTGGAGCGCGACTGAGCACCAACATATCAGACAACAAAGGCCAATAAAAATGGGCAAACACTGGTGTTACTATATTGTCAAAGGCAAACAGCTTCACCACTTTACACACTGAACTGAAAGAGATGCCCGTTAAACCTGTTCTCAAATGATGTACATGTTTACTTTCATATCTATATGGTGGGAAAGACGTTATACAAAAAGTCAGTTTCCATCAGAATATAATAATGCTCCTGGCAAATACAGACAAAGTTTTCCCATAAAGTTTGACAGCTGCAGACACGAAAGGAGAATGAAACTATGATACAGAAAGAAAAATGCATTTCAAATAATTATGTAAAAACTAAAATTGGAATATTTTACTGTTAATTTAGTTACATATGGGTGGCTTCGCTTGTCTTGCCAGACGCTGTATGTCCCAGAGGGCTGTTCAGGGTGCAAGGACGCTTGCCAACATAAGGCTCATCATAACAGCAGATTTCTTACACCAGAGTGGTATTCATTATTACAGTTCAGCTCCAAGATCTCAGTGTTTATGGATACTAGGAAACAAACAAAGTGCCTAATTGAGTGCACACTACTGCTAACACACTGTTTATGCCGACCTAAATTCATTTTTGGAGCACAGGCATGCAAGCAAACGCACCACTGAGTCCCTTCAGCAAAGTTGACTTCAGCTGTTGACTCTGGTTTCAAACAAACTCTGCACAGCATGAGTTGATTCCTCAATCTTTCCTTTCACGAACACAACACAACACACCAGGCGTTTGCTTTCACCTCCCACCTATTTTCCACCTACCGATAATTGTTCAGTTATCACAGCTTACGCGCCGCACAGCCCATTTTGAAAAAATGACAAACTTTAACTAAGATAAACAGGAAAAAAGTGTTTACCTTCTGCGCTCAGGCAGCATAAGGCCACCACTAACAAAAGCAGCACCGTCGTGCACCCACGCATGTCTTCACAAGTCCAAAAAGATTTAAAAAAAAAAAAGAAGTTCCTCAAAACCCGAGCCTTGCAAAGCAGTAAATACTGAAATATCAACAAAAAGTCTTTCGATATGTAGATAGCATCCACTACTGGGAGGCAGACGTGAAGAGCAATGGGGATTTCAGCTTTTTGGGGTCCCTTTGGAGCACTGATTGTGCAACTCCGTCTGTGCGTCCCGAGCGCTTGGATGAATCTCCAACCACTCGTTTAGGTCTCTCTCTCCCCCTCGCTTGCTGTGGAGAGGCAGCAGCTCTTTTAAAAGCTGCCCGCTATCCCATTCTCATTAATATGCACGACCAGACAGCGAATCAAACACTTGTTGTGTCCTGCGAGGGAGAAGTGGAGAACGTGGAAAGGGAGGGAGGGCAGGAAAAAAAACAAAAATGCACGTATTGTTCACCAAAATCTGGAAGGATGACGTCTGCTGGTCTGTTCGTCTCTTGTCCTGATTTCAGGCTGACAGACAGAAAACTTGGTGGGATGAAGAAAAACGCCACAATGACAGCAACAACAGAGCCAAGACAAAGGAAAAGTTCCTCCTCGCTGACAGGACAGTGAAATTGAAGGCTGACGTGTACGAAAATACGTTACCCAACACACATTGTGGGTCAGTGAAGGCAACATTTAAGGATCAGAGACTTAAATTGAAGAAAAAAAAATCCGTGTTGTTGGCTAAAAACTGACCGGTAAAAATCACATGTTTAAGAATATATATGCTCAAGAGATTCAATTCATTTGCTGATAGAAGACTGTGAACTTTTTTTAAGCATACACGCACATTGAAATCGTGGAGTATATTATTTTTCTCATTATTTTTTCCTCAATCAGATATAACCTATAACATAATAAATATTGATCAGTTTAGAGAAAACATTAAAAAAGCTGGATTTCCCTCGCCTGACGTCAGCATCTAGAAAGAAAACTGGACTGATTCGTTTCAAAAGCCATTGTCACGAAAACGTAATGAAAGTCTTACAACCTCATGTCTGATCACATTTGTCACTTTCTAAAAGTCAAATTATTTTCTGTCCTTCTTGCGTTTTTTTGGATGTCACTCAGTGAAATTCAAAGCTGATATTGTTTCTGTGAATGCTTTTTGGGCTTATTCTGTTCCCTGCATATGAATAAATGCACTCATTGTATCTGGGGATGCCATCAGGCTGAACCTTTGGCCTGTAAGAGATAGCCCTGAGAAGAAGGTCTGACCCCTCCCACCTGGAACACTCTAACCACAGGATTAAACCACATTCATCACCATCCAGCGTAATAAGATTTGTGTGTGTGTGCGTGTTTCCCAGACTCACTTCCCACTTGTGCTTGTGCTCACCTCTTTGCCCCTTGCACCGATGCAATCAGATTCTGTCATAACTCAAACCAGCAGCCATGAACTGTCTGTCCGCACGATGTACCTGTGTGCGTGCATTTGTTCATGTCTGCATGACCATATTTGTGGGTGTGTATCTACACGAGTTCTCGCAGCATGTACATCTGTCGCATGCTGCAGGATTACACGCGCGCACCGCCAAAACAGTGTGCAAATCAGCTGTGAACCTGTCTTAATGTTACCACCGTTTCTTCTTTGTTCCCTTCACGAACAGCAGCGGGACAAGATGCCAGCTATCATTTTCAGTGGACTGTGACAGATTAGGATGTACGTGACCCCTACAGGGCATTGCAGCTGTGTGAATCTATCCCGTTTTTTGATCTCAGGATGAAAGACAATGGTCAGCTGTCTGTTTCAGTCTTCAGCTGTAATGACTGAAAATAACTTGGACATGAGTTGTCTTCATCCATTAGATCATTTTAGCTACAAGAAAGAAAGAAAGGAAGTGAAGGCAGCAGTTAAAAATACAGGAGGACTTTAGCCAAACTGAATCTGTCTTTAAAAGAAAATAACATCATTTGTCAGCCTTAATAAGCTGATGTTGATGATGCTTTGGAGAAACATTTTTTGAAGTTTAGCTAATGATTACTAACCAGAACATAATTAAAAACACTGACAATATATCAACATTTGATCTTTGTATTCACATAAAATGAACACTGGCAGCATTGGCAGTGAAGCAGAGAGCATAGTAATAGAAAATGTAATTAGTGGACCAAATTTTCCACAGATGCTACATAGCAGTTGGCTCAAAAAAACAAAACAAAAACAGTAATAAACTATGGAAAGCCTTCAAGCAGTTGTTGCCAGCCTTTCTTCTGTCTGGTGTAGCTCCACAGCAATATCAGAAGAACGCTACATAGCACATCCACATCAGTGCAATTCACACTCTAAACAGAAAAGCCCCAGCTGGACACCGTTGCTGTTAAATTAGTTTTTTTTAAAAAAGACTAAATTTGTGAAAAAAACCCCTCCCATAATAATTCAACATTTATATGTTGTATTTCTTCTCATGATCGCATCAACTGTTTTCTTTAAGACAGCCAAAAAAATCATGTGTCATTTTAGAAGTAAACACTTCATATTCTGACATTTGTTTTCAGAGTAGAGAAAACTTTTCTTCACTTGATCAAGTAAGACAGCTGTTTTCTGAAAGTGGCTGTCAAAATCCTCCAGCTTCACTTCCTGCCTGCAGCTGTGGCCCTCTCTTCAGTTCTTTGGACTGGACTGAAGGACCACATGTATTTACACAGAGCTGTACTGCTTGCTAGATTGTAAACATTTGTCTGTGATACTAAGTTGCACTGTGTCCATTGGCGTTTAATGAACCTGGCAGCGCTGTAAATGCAGAGCTAATCCGCAGGAAAACTGTAAAGTTTTACCCCAAGATTAAACATAGCAGAAGGTGGATATAGTGTAGAAGCTGTTTAGATTGGAATGATATGTAGTTAAAGAGGGAGAGGGAGAGAAAGAGGTAGACAGAGACACAGACACAGAATATGTTTATGTTGTTGGGAGCTGAGTGTCTCAGTTAAATGCAGGCTTCTGTCTGTAACCAAAAAGCACAGAAACTTTTCAGGTTCAGCACATCTGCCTGTGTATCAGCTGTTAAGCTCTACAGCTGTTTAAAAACTTGGGAACATGTGTTTTAAACTGTACAGGGTGTTTTTTTTAGTTTGCTGTCATCCTATCACACTACAAATGAGGTAATAAGCTGTTGTGCTTGTTATAGAATGGTGGACATGTACCTGTATAACTGTGGGGAGAGTTTCACTCATATTGCAATAAGTCTGATCAGTTCCTGATGAGAGCTGGGCTCCACCAGGGCTGCTTTTTGTCACCGATTCGATACATAACTTTTATGCACAGAGATTTTAGGCTCAGCCAAGCAGCTGAAGATTTCTGGTCTTGTGGCCTCAGGATCATCTCTCTGCTTTTGATGATGTGGTTCTTGTGGCTTCATCAGCAGGTGTCCTCCAGCTCACTGTGGGGTGGTTTGCAGGCAAGCAAGAAGCAGTAGGAATGAAAGCTGTCAGGTCCGTGTCTCAGGGCATGCTTCTCAGCTGGAAAAAGATGGAAGGCCCCTCTGGGTCATCTATGGCCATGAGGTGTGGGTAGTGACCGAAAGAATGAGATCACAGATACAAGCTTCGCCTGAAGGGTTGGACTCTCCCTTAGGCCTCGATTTTTCTCTCAGGTTTATGAACATGCTGGTTAATGAACAAATGAGAGCGTGTATCTGTTTTTGATAGAAATGTGAAAACATACATCTCTTTTACTACTATATGAAAAGCACATTCTTGCTGTTTCAGGCACAAAACAATCTGGTAGATTTCTCCTTAATTGCATAACAAAAAAAAGAATGCATCATAGCTGTGAAAAGTGGTACTTTTATTGGTTATTAATAATCTCTGTCTTAAAAGGGAGTTTTTCCTTCCCATTGTTGCCAAGTGTTTGCTCAAACTGGGTTCCATGATTGTTTATAATATAGGGTCTTAACCTTACAATACAAAGCACCATGAGGAGACTGTGATTTGGCGCTATAAAAAAATAAAATGTAACTGAATGAAAATACTGTTCCAAGTGAAAAAATTCCCCTGATCTTTGATAAATAAAGGATTATCTTCTAATCTTTACCTGAAGGGATCAAGTTGCATCCAACTGGCTGCTCAGTGTCCACATGGCAGCCAGTCATGTGAATGTGTATGAAAAATTTCACATTATCCTTTGGAGTAAAACAACCACAGCAACAAAACAAATGAATGTAAAGCGCAGTCCATTCACCGACTGTCTCCTTAATATAATGTGGAAGTCATAAGTGAATCTCGATCTGCACTCTTTGAGGCTTGACCTAAAATAGCCCGAGCTTATTCAATAACTCTAACACTGCAGACATTTCCAAAACATTCTCAAACTGAATTATTGCTTTTGTAGAGTTTGTCCTTCCTAATACAGTCCTAAGCTTAAGTGAATTTTATGAATAGCTTATGCTTCAATGACATAAAATGACCTGCTGAGACATGAAAAAGAACAGAGGCAAGACAAGCACACCATCTGTTTCAGGTTGTTTGAATTTGCATGGCTTTTACAAGAGAAGCCTTCCACGAATATAAAAGTCTGTAAATTCTTTTAGGGGCTGGGAGAGCATCTAGCAGGTGTGTACTGTCTTTCCATAAAAGTGCATTTGGGATTGCTTAAATTAATGTCACTTGGCACATAAACAGACTAGGCCATTAGTGCATAGCAGAGAGACAGAAAGACTGCTCATCTGTTTTGACATATTTCTGCAGAGAAGTATGTGAGTACTGCAGTGAAATCTTTCGCCTGAAGCCACAATGGTGAGGGTACGTGAGAGGTCACAGTGGGAGTAAGTATTTTAGTGGAAATTCTGTATCACAAAGACAGACAAAGAAAAATAGAACTTGAAAGGATGAAAAAATTATCTGACAGTAATAATGCAAATTTGGTGTGTAGGCTAAATATGTACTGAGGTCCCCAGTGACAGGAATGGTAGGTGAGTGGGAAAATTCAACCAAACTGTCATGCACTTGCTCGAACTTCTATTCAATTCACCATGGAAAAATCACATGTTCTTTCCCAGGACATGTCCTATTATGAGGTATTTAATGACACTGGCCATGGCTTATGTTGGTGTTACATCATATCAAGGTCAGTTCTAAAACATCACTCACAAGTGAATGTCTCTATTTAAAAACAAGCAAACAAACAAAAAACTCATGCTGTGATATTATAGTATATCAGAAATCTGTTCACTATTTTTATTACAAATTATATCAGTAAGGAAGCTGACTAAATATTAACTGATAATTTATGGCAAAGGGGTGGGATTAAATAAGTGTATACTTCTTCCCACTCCCTTTCAACATGTAAATTAATCAGAATGTTTTTTTGTATGTAATTTGTATAGTATTTTTTTCTCTCTTATTTTCTTTTCTAAATGTACTTGTATATTGTTCACATGTTGAAATAAATTACCAATCAATCAATCAATCAATTGTACTTACATGGGTCACAGACATTTCATTTCCTGATATTCTGCCCGGTCTTAAGGATGTATATAGACATATTTTGCCCCCCCCCCCATTTTTTTTGTTTTTACAAACA